ATTGAACAGAAACCTTTAAGTGAAAAATCTCGCTAAACACATTTTCATCTCCATTCGGATATTTTTATCTGTTTCAAACAAAGAACCACTGACCCTCTGTATTTTAGGCATATTCCCTTCTTTGAATATGTCCAATATGCAGCCGTTTAGCTACATCATATCAGTGGTTTGAGGCATTGTTGTTTGACTTTAGTTATTGTTTTGGAATGACATTCAGCTCGCACCCAATCTTGTAACTCATTGGCTCTCGACTAATGACAATTTAGTGTCTGGGGAAACTGGACAATATTTCTTGACTTCAGGTGTAGCCGATATCGGGAAAACGGATAAGGGAAAACTGGGCTAATTATTTCCTCTGCAGACCGTTTAGCAACTTGATACGCTAGAATGACGAACAACACATTTCAGCTAATCTCTATAAACAGATATCTACATGTGGCTGCAGATAGAGTTATCATCCTCAGACAATAGTTGGTTCCAAGATCGCATCGGCGTGTGTGAGAGAAATACATTTTATCTGTATGAATTGGAAAGTTTTTACAAATGGTAGCAGAGTCTGAAATAATTGTGTCAGGAAATAGGGACTTTAAACACATGTCGTTTTGGGGAACTTGGTGGTATTTTTACTGAGAAAGGGGAGCAGATTTTGGCTAGAATTCTGTGACAATACAAGGATCTCAATTTCTTAGAAAGATCTTAGAAAGGGTCATGTTTTGCTCCATTTCTCTGGGGCTGCAATAAAAATGTTGTGAGGTTGAAAAAGAAAAGTAAATCAGAGAACAAGAGCTGTTCAACTGTGAGTCCAAAGCCCATAATCTCTATACTCCAAGTTTTCTGTTTGTCCAATTCTGGGAGAGATTTTCCAGAAGTTGCAGCTTCAAAATGAAGACGAGGAAATGATCACTGACGTGGTAAAACCAGTCACAGTTTGAACTGTGAACTGTGAGATACCTTTGTTTTAAAAGTTAAAATTAGAGGTTGTAAAATGAGTTCTTGCAGATGAGCAGAACACAGATTGAGCTCTCGGACTTTTCAGATAGGTTTGCAGGTGAAGTAGCAACCTGACACTCCTCATTGTGCCATGAACTGCAGCTCCGCCTCGGGGAGTTGAACCGGTGCCCGTTGAGCCAGGCAGCAGCTGAACAGTCTGCCAGCTCCCACAGGGTGGTCGGTTTGAATCCCTGCCCAGACACACACTCAGACTGCCAGAGAGAAAGTGGAAGGAGTTAGTATTCATGTCCGGGCACGTTCTTCTGCTTCACTGCGTCTGCAGGCTTTATGGACTGGGTGTCCATTCAGGGGGCGATAGTAGACAAAAAGTGAACAGGTTTATAGGGCAGTCTGAGGCGAGGCAAGTTTATTAAGTTATTAAAAGATAAAATGAAATAAGTTTAATGCGTTTGGAGAATACAAATTATAGTGGAATTATACAGTATGATTAGATATATGAGTGAATTCAATTTAAAATTGAATTTAATAAAAGGCAGTGGTAAACAGAAAAGTTGGATTTAAAAGAACCGAGAAGTCAGCAACAAGCTAAAAGGAGAGTGAAGGAAATGTCAATCATATGGGCTGGATGGTAAATATAGACACAATTGTTCGTAATGGTCACAAATATTGTTCATTGATGATATAACTTTATATCATTTAAACTTGTGTTTAATTATTTTAAATGACAGACTTTAGCTGACGTAAGGCTTCTGTTTGTTTTTTTTTGTCCTTTTAATACAAAGTCGCACATATTGGAGCTTTTTAGAGTCCCCCAGCTGTCGTTCTGACTTTAATATTGACGTGAATAGTATATAAAACTTAGAAACTGTTTATAACGCAAACTCTGATATGACATGAATGCAGCATAATTACAAAGAGAGAGAAAAGTAGGGGTATAGTAGGTATATACTTTAAATCAGGGGTCTCACACTGCCGGCCCGGGGACCATTTATTATCATTTTTATTTTTCCAGTTGTTTCACATCAATTTAAACTAGTGCTTCATATACAATTCAAATAAAAACACAATTCAATTTTAAAAAATGCATTTTAATGGAGCTAAATAATGGCCAATAAAGGTCAAAGTTGCCCAGAAATGTATGCAAATGGTCGGCTGTGAACAACAAATGTATAGAAACTGCTGTCTGCGGTATAATCAGAATATTAAGCTTTCTTGTAGTACTTGAGCGTTTATATCGGCCTCCTATGAGATGACAACACCAGCAGTATGCATTTAAAAAATCTACAATTATTACTAATTCATAATGATATTATATTATGTATTAATACAATCTATTTACACTTACACATAATTTGGATTGTATCTATTAATTGATGATTAAAAACTGTGAGGCAGTCTGTAACATCTGTTTCACTAAGAGCTCTTTGAATGAATCATTGATCATCCTTCTGATATAATAATGATTAGTGAGTCATCACAGCTAATGATGGTTTATAGATAGGCTGTAATGTCATGATAGGTCACCAGGGCAGGCTAGAGTGGAGCAGTGTAATAAACTGAAAAACCAGCAAAATGGAAGGTTAGAAAACATCCCAGAGGAGGAAAAGGGTTCTTTAAACTTACAGTACTTTCCTAAGAGTACTTGTTCTTCTCCAAGGCTGTTTTTTCCCAGCTTCTTCCACCTGTCTGCTCTCTGTCCTTCTGCCTCCTTTGTTCTGCCTTCCTTCCAGTTCTTCTGTCCTCCCTCTATTATCTGGCTTAAGCACCTACACAGAGGCATATAGGTACAGGCGCTATGAATAGCCACGGCTGTGCGTAACGGTTGCATGGGATGGCAGCCGCTTTGGTGCTTGTTGGAAAACCTCGCTGATGCAACACGATCGGTGAAATTGCATCCGGCCTTCTCACTGACGGGTCTCGTGAGTGGTGGGCAAGCATTGATCTGCAAACAGATTTCTAAATGTGTTTTCTACATCCGTGTGTAAATGTGCCCAGTTCCACAGTGATTGAAAAAACAAAAGCAGGCAAACATAGTTTTATAAATCTGACAAAAAGAATGCATATTTCTGTCTTTATGAGATTTACGTATCTGGTCCCTGGTCATCCATTTCTGATGCAATGTGGGAGAGCTTGGTTTGCCTTGGTCCAGAGCCTGAATTGGACCAAAAAGGAGCCAGAACCCTAATTCAGCACAACCATAACCACAAAATACACCTAACCAATACTTTTAGTTTTTTCTATCCATTTTCAGCCTTCTCTGCATTAAGCTACTCATGTGTTAACAAAGAGACACAGTTTCTTAGGCAATAATTACCCCCTATGTTCTGCCCTTACTCTGTCTCTGATTGGCCCTGTATCTAGATACATATTGGATCATCTTAGCACACCCCTAAAGGGTACTCATGTGGACGGAAAATCTGAAGTACCTGTACCTGTGAGTACTGGCCCATATCTGTCCAGTAGATCTAAATATACAAAGGCCAGCACTTGTTCTGAGGATAGAGGTTGTTGTCTGCTTTATATGGACAGACTTGTGACTTTGGGCTACATAATTAAACTTGACTTGTTTCAACTGCAGAGGGAAAAAATATCCAAATAGGACTTAAACAACACACACACACACACACACACCACTTTACCATACAGGCTTTGATCAGCTGAGGGACAATTTACTGCAGAAACGCGGCCAAATAATATACACAAACATACACACAGTACTGAGCTGTGAAAACTGCAGAGTGTGATTTTCCTGCAGACGGAGGCTTTAATGGTGGTTTAAAGTGAATTTAGAAGTAAACTTTATTTTAAGATCGTCAGCCATCCACCCCATGCGACTGAAGCTTTAAAGGGAAGATTCAGACTCAGAAACAAAGCTGACAGGGACACACATTTGTTCCCAAACGTTACACCATTTTCATTCAAGCTGTGTTGCCAGGAAACAGCCTGGCTCCTGATGTTTTACTCTTGTGACCATACGTTTCACTATCAGCACAGCTCAGTCCACAGTTTTACGTGCTCCGCCTTTATTAAACCTCACTGGTGTTTTACCCTAAAGAGGCTCCGTGGCACACTGAGAGAACACTCACCGTCCAATCAGGTGGTAGGATGTCCTATAAATGAGTGCTGAAGTCGGTTGCCTTCTGGTGTTGCTGATAAACAAGATCTGCTTCATCGTGTCGGCTCAGAGCAGTTTGGCATCATAAGGCAGAGACCAGGTTGAAGAGGAGCAGGAGTGGATAGTCCCCTCTCTTAGTACCCAAAGCTGGACTCACATTTTGAGTTTTAGCCATGCTAGCAGCTTGGTTCCAGGGGTTGGAATGAATGTCGATGTCGGTTGGTCCAGACTGGAATATCTCAACAACTATTGGATAGATTGCTATGAAACATTCTACAGACATACCTGGTCCCCAGAGGATGAATTCTCATTATTTTGGTGACTTTTCCTCGAGCGCCACCATTTTTGTTTTTGAGGGAAATTGCTCAGCAACTATTGGATGGATTGCTGTGAGAGTTTGTGCAGACATTCATGGCCCCATCAGGATAAATTGTAATCTCTTTGGTGATCCTTTGACTTTTAATCATGCACCATTATCAAGTCACAATTATAATCTTTCCAATACGTTGGTTCACAACTGAATACCTGTAAAACTAAGGAAATTCCCTTTAGGCTCAACTTTACTGTTAAAGCAAATGAAAAAAGCTGTACTGTAAAGAACAAAACAGGCTAAACTAAGACAGTAAACATGGTAAACACTTTCTAAACATCAGCACGTTAGTATTGTCTTTGTAAGCATTTTGATCTTTTATTTTTATTTTTTATGTTTGATTTTAAAGTAATCTTAAAGTATCCCAAACATAGCTGACCACATAATCTCACCCAGTCCTGGACATATTTGACTATGAGAATGCCTTCCTCAGTGTGGAACTCCAAAAGACACCGAACACAGAATTTGCATACAGCAAGTTTTTAAATAATTTTAAATGACATAATTATATGAATCTGACTGAACATCACATCAATTAAATTCTCCTCTGTGTCTGTCTTTCAGTGGTTTGGTGATCTGGTGACTCCGGTCTGGTGGGAGGACGTTTGGTTAAAAGAAGGTTTTGCTCATTTCTTCGAGTATGTCGGCACCGACTTCCTCTTTCCAAAGTGGAACATGGTGAGTAAAAAAAAATTATTCATCTCAGACGAAGAATTCATTGGTTTGCTCAATGCAGCAATGTACTGTGAATGTTTTGCTTTAATTTTATATTTAATTTATTTCTGAGTCAATAGGAGAAAATTCTAGACCCACTTCTTTTTTAAGTCTTACTTGAATGTACTTTAAGCTAAAAACTGGATTTGAACCCAAAATGAGTCATCTCACTTTGAGAGATAGAGTATATAGTGAGTATATAGTAAGTATAACATATTGTGAGTGAATCTTACAGATTTGAATACACTATAACCTTTTAAGTGCAGCTGTATCTTCATCAGCAAATGGAGCTGAGGAAGAGTCAAAGTGAAATAATCAAACATGTAAAATATATGTGGTAACTGCAGAGTTTCTCTCTGATTATTTGATAATAGGAGTCTGATCTTTTATTCAAGACAAACAGGAAGTAAACCTTTCAGCTTCGCATGTTAAAGTGCATTCAGATATTCTGAACCTCCGTCCGTTCACTCATGAAATTGAATTTATTTTTGCCCCTCAGATGGTTTCAGGTGAATCAGAAATTCAGCTCAAGGCTCCAGTCAATCAGATTTTTTTTTTAAACATTTAAAAATCTCCAGACATTATATACAACACAGGTAGAAGACAGAAAACCTGATTTAAAAAGATGAAAATCATCTGTTGAAAGAGATAAAAACAAAAACTGTATTTTTTTTTTCTCTCCATTCAGACTTTAAGGACCTCTCTGTGGGCAGTTTTTATTGGCAGCGGTTGTGCTTTGGCAGAAAATATTTCCCAATATTTCCCACTGTTGACAGTCTGAGGATTATCCACCACTGGGATGCTGTTTGTGAACGCTTTGAGTTACTTAAACAAAATCCTATTCAGCTCCATTGTATTGGTGGTGGTGGCAGAATTAAACTGAAAACCTCACACAAATAAACTGTAGTAGCACAGAGTGGAAAGGGATCATTTATTTCAGGTGATGTCCGAAAATATTCTGCATAGATGATGTTAGGTGGACTTCAAGGCTTGAATTTACATCAAATTCTCCTGGTGGAACATTTGATCAATACTTCCCCACCCTGTCTGTGGCTCTCAATGGTTCCTACTGAAGATGTAAATCTTTAAAGGTTGTATATATGTGATTTAGAACATAAATATAGCAGCAGACAACTATTTAATAAGTAAAGACACAGAGTCACATGGTGTCTCTCTCCCTCTGCCTGTGTTGTATCGCAGCCTCTCTGTAGTTTGTATTCCTAGCCGGTCTGCTCTGACTGCTAACTGCTGTTTTTATCATCTACGTCGGTGAATTAAGGATTTATTTTCACCAAACCAGAGTTGGTGATTGTTGGAAACACTAACAGAGACAGTTTTAATGAGTTTTATTCTGTTTCTGTTCACTTTGAATGAAGTCACGATGATCTGAAGGTAAAATGTTTTTGTCTCTGGAGTAGGAACAGCTGTAATATCTCTGTAGGTATTCTTTCCATAATGAAAAGTTGGTTGACTGAGTGCGAACTGTTGGGTCTCTGTAAATAATGCTTTAAGGAGTTCGGTCTAGACCTGCTCTATCTGAAAAGTGTCCTGAGATAACTTCTGTTATAAATTGGCGTAATACAAATAAAATTGAATTGAAAAATGTAGTCTTCTCGTCGACTAACGGTTTAGTGAACTATTATTATTCATCTGCTTCTACACTTGAAACAGGCTTCAAAGCTTTTAAAATACAGTCCTGACTTGTAAAATGTAATCTATGGAAGCCCATTTCTGCCAATGAAACAGAAAAATAAGATGAAAACATACCTTTATTGCAATTATTGTCATAATTTTGACGTTTTATCTTATAATTTTAACATTTTAATTTAATTTTATCAATCTTCTTTTTCTTATTTTACTGGTGGAAATAGGCTTCCATTATTATCCTTCACATTAAGACAACAACAATAATGATCTAACAGGTACAGCACTCCTCACAACATTTAAATGAAGTATTTCATCAATTATTGCAGTTGAAAGAAAATATATATATATATTTCAAATAATCAAGGCTTTAAGCTTTAAAGCTGGATTGGGGGAGTGATGGACAGAGTCTAATAGCAACATATCAAATATAAAAATAAAGACAGTGAGCGCCTAATGTGGAAAACAAGAGCTTACTGAGTGTGAGCAGGTCAGAGCTTCTGGCTATAAAGAACATTTAAATACACATCTGAAGCAAACTGGAGCGTGACTGTTACACACTGTAATGTACCCCACTTTGTCAGCAGGCCCAGCCTGAGGAGATAAACTGGAAATCAGACACAGTTTCTCACCAGTGGTTGAATAAATATTCAGATCCTTTCCTTAAAGACCTGTGATGTTCCCACACAGATGTTTCCACTTATTCTGGCTGATTGGATGGTTTCTAAGGACCGTGGCGCTCAGTAAGAACAGCCGCCGTCTGTCTGACAAAAACTGTTACTATTAGTTCATTTCAAATATCACTAAAAAATATGATCATCTGTAGCCAATAGCCAAAGGATATAACATTTAGTTTCTAACCTGCACATCAGACAGTACGAACCCCAGAGCAGCGATAATAAAGCTGTGTGTTTGTACAGTAATCAGTGAGCTCAGGTAGCTAGCCATGCTGAATCTTCACACTTACATAAGCACATCACATTTTGTTTTACAGGAAGACACAGTGATTGGATTTTGCTAATTTATTTTTTATCGATTTTGTGGCATACATTGTTAAATATGACTATAATATGTTAGAAAGGCATTTTTATTTTCATCTGGACTCCAAATATAATAGAATATTCTTCATCGGTAATAATTCATCCTTCAGTTTATTGCAAAACCTTTTAAAATCAACACGTCTGGAGATAAATGGTTTTAGGGTATAAAAGTAACTAAAGCTGTAAAGTATTGAGTTGTATAAAATATTAAGCATTAGTAAAGGACAAGTAGTCAAGTAAGTCAATTTGTAATTGAGTAAATATACTTCCACTGCTGCTGTATGTATGTTTGCTGTATGTTTGCTGTATGTACAGTATGTTTGTCCCCTGTGTATTTAGGCTCCACTGGAATTTCCCTCCAAGCACAATAAAGATTTATTGAGTTGAATATGTTGCTCAGACATACGTTCACACACACAGACGTTTTCCTCTGCAGGTATACGGTAGACAGAGATAAATTACCATGCTAACGCGTAGCTTCTCCTCCCTGTCCCCACTGAGGATGCAGCCGGCTGCGTGAATAGAGTCCATAAAGCAGAGAATGAGGAGGGATTACATTCTACCTAATAGTTCACAGATTATTCTGTTATAAATTGAATATAGGGCAGACTAACAGAGCCTCTAGTATTCTAAATACATATTTATAAAGCTGAATGAGTGTTGGGATTTGCTCGACCACGTACACTTTAACTGCATTAGCTTCCTCCCAGTGAGGGAGAGAGAGAGGAAGCTCTGGCAGACATGACCTTATTGCGGTGGCAAAGACTCAACAAATGAATTTCCTCTTTTGTCACATTCAAAATTCATCGCCTTTGTGCAGCAGGAAAAAAATATATAGTTTATCATCATTTCAGGTCATGATCTGAATTCAGCGCGCGAGGGATCAAGTTGAGTCCACTTAGACTAACACATGTACATATGTACACTCATAGATCATTTCCCTTCGTTTATGTAGAGAGGAACATGCAAGACTGTCTGAGTGTACAGAGCAAAGGTGAATAATACAGTTTACAGTTGTGGAAGATATACTCTGAGCCTGTTTTAAATCTGGTATTATCACTGTGCACTGTATTAAAATATGGACTCAAGTACAATTACTCCCATAAAATATGACGTTTTACATGAAAGTACAAATAAAAATTGCCATTATAGACTTCCGGTTGAGCAACCATG